GGCTATCCCTTGATCAAGTCCTGTTCCCCTTCACTGTTGAACTTCTACCCCGGCTATTGCTGACCGAGTTGATTGGTATGAGCAGCATTCGCTGTGGTGTTTGATGAAACGGCCCAATTGGTCCGTAGCTTTTTCTGGTTCCTGCAGCGGATGTCCAGTGATCAGTGTACTAGCCCGTATGGCGAAGTCTTTCCGCTTGGTGTGGGCGAAGAGGCTGCCACGCAAGGCCAAGAAAAAAGAAGACCCACAGGCCAATCAGCAATTGGCTGAGTGCCAGCCTGACTTCCGGAGAGTTGCCCGCAAGCGGCCTGCTCATGTGCAATCCAATGCGCCCGCACACTACACCCCACCTCCCTTTGCCCAAGAAAGAAAAGTAGCGCAGCCTGCCAGCAGGGCTCAACGACTGGCTGCGGGTCGCACTCCAGCCAGATTGGCTGCGCTGATGCGCACACATCTTTTCAGCAAACCCATTTCTCTCCAAGCAGGGTCGTTGCGACCTTCGGGTGGGCTTTTTGCCACTTGGGCAGGAACTCCGGCTTTCATCGTGAGCACTTTCTCCAGACATAATGTGCCCCACGCTGATGTGGTTGGCCTACGGCAAAAAAAGGATGGCTCCAACTTATGGAATGGTCGTTTGTCGCAGGCCAACACCCATACGATAAAGCAGGAGGACTTGTTTCATGTCGGCTTGCACTATCGCTTGCTGCGCAAGCAAACTAAAATGAGTTCTTGCTTGTGTTCCTTTGCTTGCATTGAACGCCTTATGAGTTCGTTTTGTTCGTGACACTAAGTGTAAACCATGCAGGGTCAATCTGTTCGGCAGACTATCGGATGTGAGGCTTTGCTCAAAACGCAGACGCTCTCGCTGCTGTGGATGCAAGGGCCGCTCAAGTTTGTAGATGGGTTGCTCAGCGTGTGGCGCAGGCGCAGCCAGGGTGTGTTGAGCATGAGGCCCAGGCAGTCCATGGCCCCCTCGCCGCAGAGCCCATACTGCCAAAGCCTCAATTGACTTCAGTACTGGGGAACTGTGCCTGATGTTAAACTTCCCATGTCCTTCTCAGCCTTCCCCTAGCAGCAAAGCGTGCACTGCACCTGGCCTGAGGTCTAGCAGACTCCAGGAGCACCTACAAAAGCAGCGGGACTTGGGTGAGCCACACGTTGCTAAACCTAGACATGCGGCTGATCGCCGTAGCAGCGTGTGCGTCTTAGACTTGCCACTTCCTCAGACCCTGCGCTGGCAGCCGCAGCGCTGTGACACCTGCAGATTGCTGAGAAGTGGCCTCGCAGCTTTTGCAGTGACAGACGCTGACATCATGGACGCGGCTCCTACAGTTCTACGCCACGATCCAAAGAGAAACTCTGATCTTTGTATCTGATGCTTTGTTTTTTGTATCTGGTGCTTGAAAAGTTGGTCAGCTGCTTGCTGTTCACCACCACAGATCAATATAGTTGAGTGTATGGAGGCAGCCAACAGCTAAATTTGGCCAGCTGCTTGCTGTTCAACACCACAGGTCAATATAGTTGAGTGTATGGAGGCAGCCAAGAGTTTAGCGCTTGGGCAAAGCTGTGCACGTACACTGGCCCGCCACCGCCAAAAAAAAATTATATGGTCCAATATGGTTGTCACAGTTGGATACAACTTCCCAAAAATGTGTTGCCACTCAGAGTGTCCCCAAGATACAAACGAACAATGGGTGAGAGAGGGAGACCAGCCTCCTAATTGTTTCTGTGTAGTTACTAGCCCAAAAACACGTTCATGGACTCAGCCGACTGTGTTAACTGAGTCGAGAGTTTCGTTTGGACCACCAAGTTAACCAGGTGGTTCAACCATGGTCCTTCCACTTTGGCTGGCAGATGCTGCCAGTAGCCCGTCCGTAAAACGCTGTCGTTGCTCAATTTTTAGGTTTGCCAGGCCCAATGAAAACCAAGGTTTTGCACTCATCACATTTCTCTAAGGGCCCGTTCAGCTTTCAGTGAGGAAAGGCAACCGGATTGAAGAGGACTGGGGGCAGGCAAGGGACAAGTCCCCATCAACCGTCATCGTTTTGTTTCACTAAACAAACCTGGCTTGGTAACAAAAATGTATGTATTTTTTGGCACCTTTTGATTTGGAAGTCAGCCTCAGTGATTCTCCGGACATGGCACAGTGCAATGTCTTCGAGCATTACTCGCAGGCAGGGCACCAGTCACATGGCATGAGCTTGCAGATGTCAGTCTTTTTCTCGCAGTTACTTTTTCAGAACAACCCATTTGTTTTTCTAGGAAATGACTGTGGACTTATTATGCGGTGGAGTGGCTGATGGTGGGTGTTTCCATTTTGTTTTGAAGAGGATCATTTTCATAAATGCACTTGTCAGCTCCAGAGCTATCACAGATACTCGAATACCTTCCTCGCGACTGTGCAAGGCTCTTGGTTCCTGATGGCGCAGCAGAGTATTCCTCTAGAAACCAGGCTGAGGCAGGGTTGACATGGACAGCCATTCCGATTGACGTTGCACAAACCAAATTCTTGAGACCAATCAGAGAAACAATAGAAATTCAGGTTCTTTCAGTTGAAGAAACTGGCTTGCATGAGGGTGAAAATGGTTTGTTACAACATACCCACAGCAGATTCCAATTTGCTGTGGTCAATCTTAGTTGGATTCCCCAAGCACAGCCAAGACCAGATAGAGGCCGCAATCATGAGAGCCACATGACATTGGTAGTCTTCAAGTCTTCCCGCTTTGGATTGGGATGCCAAGTTTGTAGTCACAGGCAGACATCACCCTGGAGTTCATCATCCTGGAGTTGCTTCTCTTTCCTGAGCAGGTGCCAACTTCCTTTCCCCCTCAGTGCCCAAATAGGCATCCTTGTTTCCGATCAAATTGGGCCACATCACAAGTCACTTGATGCAAGTGCAATGATCATTTATCATTGCTTTTCAGGTGTGGGCCTTTTCTGTGGCCACTGCCAACATTTCAGGTTGGTGCCCCAGTGAGCCTTCTGAGTAGGAAAGCCGGCAGTTGATTGAAGAAGCACGCATTTAGGGCTAATACGCCAAGGCATGGTACGCCTGCACAACTACCAGCAGATGAATTTTTGGAAAAATCCAACAAAACTGAGATCCGATCCATAAGGTTCTCAGTGACCCTGAAGCTCTGCCGGCCATCGCTTTGAGTTTTGCCCAGACCTTCAGTCTTGTTTGAACTGCACTTTGAAACAATGCATGGCAGCAACTGTTCCAAAAACCTGTTGTGAAACAAACTGATCCCCTTTGAAACCCACCAATGCCCACTAAAGTTTTAAACTCATCAGCTGCTTCGCCCAGGCCCAGACTTTGCTGCGTTCCATGATCTTCAGAGAGGTGGTACTGGTGCAGCCCAGACTGTTTGTTGAGAGTTCTTTTGCAGCTGATCACCCCATCCCAGCTCATCCCCGTATCCTGTGAGTGTCCAGCGCGTGTTTCTTGCATTTGGCAAGGGCTGAACTGGTACATGTCAGGTTTTTATCCAAGTCAAAAACTAAATTGACTTCAGGTTTGTCAAGGTGTTCATGTATTCCACACATCAAAAAAAGAACCGATTGGACTATATTTGTCATTGATTTGATCGATCGGATTGGACCTGTATCAGCCAGGTGGAGTGGTGATGGGAACATTTGGCAGCAAGCAACCCAGAGCACAAGCATGTTTTTTGGTGACTCGAAACCATTTACACGAAACATGTTTGGATCAGTCAGCAAACTTTGCCTTGGCCAAGTTCTTGGCGCAGCAAGATGATCTCATAATATGGCATATGTTCAAGACAAATAGCCAGCGAGTTCACACTAAATCAGTCGCTAAGATGTCCAAGTTGCATGGGCTAATCATTGTTGTTTTGTTCAACACCTTGCTAGTTTCCGTTCCTTGCTGAATGGCTTTTGCTGACGAGTCTGATTGTGAGCTCCCCAGCGAAGATGAGGGGTTGCCCATACCACATCTGCTTGGTGTGGGAGTGGCTTGACAGGTATTGAAGATTCATTTGTCCAATGTTGAGCCCACGGATTGCGTCCACAAACTGTAAGTTTTGGGGAATGTACTTCTATTTGTCCTATGCATAGTTTGTGAAGAAGTGGAAAATCAGACTGCCAACATAATATGCTTCCAAACAACCAACATATATATATATATACATTTCATATATATATATATGTTATATATATATATTTCTATTCAACCTTCCACAATGGCTGGCCCAGGATCTGTGTGAAGACAGCCCAGCACTACCAGAAGAGGATTCGATAGATGACCCATTGGAAGGGTTGGACCTGGAGTTGCCATCGGAGGTAGAGGAAGAGCCAGCCACGTTCCTTGCAGCAACCGGTTGAGGGACAACCAATCCGAATGTTCTATTTAATGTTGGGGTGAATGGAAGTACTCTAGACTCTAGATCAAAGGTTTTTTCCAAGTTCCATGTTGTTTGTGCTGTCACGTCGATCCAAATCTTCAGGTGCCCTCAAGAAGAATGCTGTAAACACAACTGCCTTTTGCACTTCAACGCTAGTCTCAATGCAAAGCGCCAGCAGCTAGAATGGCAGCGCAAGCTGCTGTCTTGGAGCCGTTCAGAAGGTGACCGCAATATTTTCCAGCTGTTGAAACAAATGCGGGTTCATGAGGACGGGGTGACCGGGTCTGAGATCTATTGTGTTGATATTTTGCTGTATCTAGAAAGGTTTTCCTATATACCCGTTTTTGCCAGTTGCATCTTTGCTTATACTAGCCTACGCAAAAAATATACATACCGCAAGCAACTCTGGCACACCACTAAATTGAAAACTAGCCTGGTAGGATGGACTGGTGCGGAAGCGAGGCCCTGCTTGGCAGTTCTTTGGCGTGAAGATGTGCTTCCGTGCTTTTGTAGCCACTACTGGCATCAGCAAGCGTAAGTGTCAGAAGTTCCTGCTGGCGATTACCAACGGCCACAGTGAACCCCCAGAGGATGGCCGGTCCTTGAGAAGCGACCGCGACATGCCGAAGCGGGACCATGCCCGGGTCTTTTTTTCAATGGATCTACAATCACCTAGCCGAACCTTTAGCTGAGGGTGAGGCAGAGCCAGAGGCTGAATCATCGACAGAGTGGGCCGACGAGTTCTCCTACTGGGTGCAGGGCCGGGGGGAAAGTTCAGAGAATCCTGTGGCGTGCGCCAGCGGATCTTTGGAATCTGGTTTGCCACAAAAGTCGTTCGTCTGAAGCTGGGCATTTTTCTTAACCTTGTATGTTTGCACCAAAATTGGGTTGCCATATATTCTCTATATAAATTTATTGGGCGGCTGCAAGGTGGTTGCACCCCATGAAATTCGCAGAGCTCTTTGACTTGTATGAGTTCATGTATGGCAGCGAGAGCACATGCGGGCGATCATTGCTGCGCCGGGTCTATGTAGAAGAATGGAGGGCATGCCTCCGGATTCGAAAAACCTCCCAACACACCCAGTGCAAAGATTGTGACTCATTGACCCAAAATCAGATCTTTTTTAATTTATGGTAACGACACCTTTGTCAGGATGTACCCAATTTGCTAGTAGTAGATCCATGCCCTGTTGGCCACTGCCCAGCTTAGCCGAGGTGTTCGCATCTCAAAGTATCGCCGGGATGCCAGAACAGAGGCTGAGAAGCAAGCATTCACTGCAGCGGCGAATGAACACAAACAAGGTGTCTTCAGGGATCGGGCTGCTGGCCGGAGGTTGATGATCCTTTCCGAAAGCGCTACATGCCAGGATACCTCCTATGACCCTGCCCATTCCATCCTGTATATTAGCCTGGATGGCATGGACCAGGAGATGGGTTCACCCACAAAGCATTTATCAATGTCAAGCAGGTAGAAATAGAAACCACACATTCTATTTGGCCTTTGCTTTCTCACAGTACAAGAAGTAAACGCTTAAACTTGTAGTTCAGAGATCCTGCCCATTGTTTCCTTCAGGCGAAATTTCGAGTGCCCCGCTGCACGGAGATGTTTACATCCAAGCAATATGAGAAATGCTGGAGGCCCCAATGTCACTGTGTGTGTGCCATTGCCCACGGCGTTGTGGAATGCTATTATGTAATGGATGGAGACATTCCAAAGAACAGCGACATGAACATCACGTTGATCAACCGAACGGTTGATGTGGCTTTGGAGGTGCTCCGTGCTCGAGGTGTGTCGCTCCCACATCATCTTGCACTGCAAACAGACAATACTACCCGTGAGCAACGAAACCAGTATGTCTTTACCTTTTGTTCATTGATGACTGCCAAGCGGTTGTTTGCCACCGTGAGCCAATGTTTCTACATCCCTGGACACAGTCACAATGAAGTAGACCAGCGCTTTGTCCCGGTCGCAGCTGCATTGTCTCGGGCCACCCAGCTCCAAGATTGTGAAGAGCCTTTGCACACTCAATTCAAAACATTTTTTGGGAAACCATTGGGAACCTGTTTGGACCCTCTTGGCATTTAAGCTTCTTCACCACCGATGTGAGGAGTTTGCACAGTGCGTCCGCAACAATGTCCAGCCGGCGAGAACTCGGGAGATGCATGTGGAATGCATCAATGCCTTCCACAATTGGCAAGAGTATCTCCAGCCCTTGAATGTCTCATTGAGTGGGCTGGCTATCTTAGAACACGAGCCAGATGTCAACTTTTCCTTCCGCTTTGTCTGCAGAGGTGAGCTTCGCAAGTATCAGGGTTTTGAGAAATGGATGGCAATGGAAGATGGTGAGCAGGACCTTCATCCGTTTTAGATCGTGTTAGTGTGTTTGTGTTGGTGTCTTGGTCGAATAGTTATGAACAGTTGATCCACACCAGTGGGATTCACACACATTTTTCCAACGCCAAGTCAGGACCTTGCTGTGGCACCACAGGATGGCGAGCTGGGCAATGATTCAGATGTGTTCTTGCTTTGCAAGCATTTCATGCATTCCAGTTGCTTGACACAAAAGCCTACATTACTCCTCCCTGCGTCGCGCTTGGGAAATGTGGGCCTGCAACCTACTCAAACTATATCGCGGAACAAGCTGTCTGACCGTCAGTTGGCTGAGTTCCGGAAGACAGCCCGCCAGATTGCAGAACCGCCGTGGTCTTTGCTACGAGCATCAGACTACCTGAATCGGTTGTGTGATGACAATGCTAGTGAAAAGGTTCATGATCCCCCGCCGCTGGTTTTTTTCAATTCCAGTGGGGAGGAAATCGATGGGTTTCAGGCTTTGAGAGACCGTGCAGACCCACCAGAGGACTTGCTCAATTTCGCACCAGGCACTCCGAGAAAGGTGGTGGTCAATTTGCAGCCAAGAGGTCGTGGTGGAGGTGGTGATGCAGCCCGTGGCCGACCTGCTCGTGGCCGAGGCCGGGGCCGGGGCAGAGGGCGCCGTGATGAAGGAGACAATGCAAACGGGGAGGCTCCTGCAGAGGCAGCAATGGAACCGCCTCCTGGAGCCCTGGAAGCAGAAGCGCCTCCTGTTCCTCCTGCCCCACGGCCAGCTCCCAAAAGAGGATTGAAACGTCCAGCAGCTGCTCCACCTAGAGGGCCTGCAGCAAAAGCTGCCGCTGCTGCTCCTGAGCCAGGACAGCCTTCTGGCGAAGCTCCTGCTGCGCCAGGAGAAGGTGAGGCCGGAGCCGCTCCCCGTTATCGCCAAAGCACGATTGACAAGCAATCAAAACTCGGTTGCAATAAATGCAAGTATGCTGTTTCTGGCTGTACAAGATGCAAGGAAATTCATTCCTTGTACAGAGCGCAGCACGGTTTGGAGTAGTTCCGCTACAGTTTGTAGATCTCACAGTGTCAGTGTCAGCATGTTGTAAGACCATGAAGGGTCAACAGCTTTGCAGATCATCAAACCACTCCAGAATGAATGTTCATTGTGTTGTTTCATTTCTTTGGTCTATGGAGTGCTGTCCCTCTGTGTCAGGCAAGTTTTCGCAATACTTTTTGTCGCCTTGCAGGAGAAAGTTTGTTGCACCAAGTTTCATTTTGGCCCTGAATTTGCTTCTTCTCAGCTTGCTTCATGCGTGGCTCGCTGAGGTTGGGCCAGTGGATTCGAGGCTCAAACCTCAGAAAACTCATTGCAAGACTGAGTGAGGGTAAGTTTTGGCTCAGCCTCGAGATTTTCGCACATGGTGTGGTCTTGTGAACACAATCTATCTGTATATAACGTATGTTGAGCTACTGGGAGGGTGCTTGGATGTGGTAGCTGCAGCTAGATCAATCGCAAAAAACAAAATCATTTTTCTGTTGCTGCAGCAGCAGTCCGGAAAGCGATCCAAATTTGGACCATTGAACGCGCGTTTTCAGGCCCTACCTTCGGCTACTGTGACTGCAGTTCTTATGAGTCTGAACCTCAATCAAAATGGTATGGTACAAACCGTGAATTTGGCTGTGAGACTGTGGGTGAATTCAATGGGTCACTGTCAGGAGTTCTGTTTGGATATGGTTTGATGTGTGGACCAAAAGCTAGCTGTTAGAAATCAAAGGACCGGCAGCTGTGCCTGACACCAACCAAACATGGCTATGCGTCGCAAAGCTTTGTCGTTTTGCCTTCCTTCTTCCGACTCAGAAACAGATTTGCAACAGCTGTTTGGACATGGTGCAGAAGAAATTGAGCTCCCTTCAGATGTGGACGAACCTTTGATATGTGGAAAGACTTTTTGATTAATTTTCAAGTCGTTGGCTTTGTGTGGATCTCAGTTGATATTTATTGTTGCCAAACATATTTTTGAATAGCTTCATGAATTTGCATTGGTCAGCTGGCCAGTGCATTGTCTCATTCATCAGGATGATGATATCGCTTTCTTGACCACGCCGCGGCAGGATGTCAAGCGTGCTTTGAAGTTCAGCCCTAAATCTCATTCTGCTTCCAAAATGGGCCATGGTCGTGCACGCCTGGTTGGGCCAAGGCGTGTCCCGCAGGTGTCCAAGAAGGTGGTCAAGCCAAAACAACAATCGAAGAAGGCAACCTTGCCTTCAAAGAAGGATGAGCAGATTGACACAGCTGCATTGGACCTTGCTTTGTCGGTTCTGAAGCAGCCCAGGAAGGACATCACACCTCATGATGTGATGGAACTGTATAGCCGTCCACGGCTCGTGCCCATGGCAGAATCTATGGGGCTGACAGGCAGCCTTTCCCTGGACATCGTCCATGGGTGGGATGCATTGAAGCCAGAGCATCAAACCATCGCCTCTCAGCTGCTTTCCAAGGTGACACCGAAGTTTCTGATGACTTCGCCGCCTTGTACCTACTTCTCAGCGTTGATGGAACTTTGGAACTTCAAGAAGATGAAAGCTTCTGAGAAACGCCGCAGGAAGAAAGCCGCTGTGGCCATGGTGGAGCAGGCTGTGGACAGCTGCTTGGCCCAGCATGATGCTGGGAGGCTTTTCGCTTTCGAGCACCCCAACAATGCCACGTCCTGGAAGATTACGAGCCTGAAGCGCAAGATGGCTACTCCAGGAACCTATACCATCTCATTTGATCAATGCTCAGTGGGCCTGGTGTCTCCAATGGGAGAACCCATCCGCAAGCGCACGCGGCTCTGGACCAATTCACCCAGCATTCGGGACTTGTTTGAATCCAAGCAATGTGCCTGCATTTGCGATCACCGGAGGATCGAAGGATCCCAGTGTGGATTCAGCCTTTCGAAGTGGGCGCAAACCTATCCACCCAAGATGGTGAAATGTTTGATCCAGGGCGCATCCAAAGATATGCCCTAAGCTGACGCTCTGGGACTTTTTCTGGCTGGAGCCACCGACCCGGAATGCCATTTTTCTGATTGCCAAACTTGCAGTACCATGTTGTGTTTAGCAAAGGCTTGGATTGGCTTGAGGTGCCTTGGGCTCACAGCTGGAAGTCCTTTCTTAATTACACTGCACTGTACTCACTAGGCAGGCCAGCCTGTGAGAGAGGTGCTGGAAAACGGGTAGTGGATGAAGAAAAATCAAGCTGCTGCAGCAACTGTGATGGTGCTGTCCTTCAATGTTTGTGTTTGGATATGTCACTGGCAGTGTTTGAGGCCTGGCTTTGGATCTGTGTTTGGCTTTTCTCCTGCTGTGCAACCTTCAGGTGCAGGACTGATTCATTGGTCATTAGGCTTTGGAACTGGACACATTTTGAGCTTCACTGGGCCTGGGGTACTTGGTTCATTGCATCCAGAAAAAGAAATAACTATGAAAAAACACTTTGAAAAACACATCAAAAAAATCTAAGTATTGAAACCCTAAACCCTAAACGTTTGACCATGTTTTCACTTTCCAAAAAAAAATTGCGAGAGTGGGGTTTACATCAAGCGATTTCCAGGAGAGGTCTCTGAAAGATCGCTCGGTTTTGGGAGACACAGTGGGAGTTGGGAGGGGGACCATGTCCAACAAAAGATTTGAATTTTCAAGAGATGTCACATGGGCCCCAGACTCACCCAGAGATCGCTTGAAAACAATTGTTTTCAAGCGATCTTTGGCTAAGTTCCTTATTCCAAGAGATCTTGGCTCTGTGTTGAACCAGGGCCTAGTTAGCTTGAAATAAGAGGTTCAGCCAAAGATCGCTTGAAAACAATTGTTTTCAAGCGATCTCTGGGGGGGCCTGGCACAGATGTGAGTTAGCTTGATTCTATGGATTTTTTGGAGTTCAGTAATTGTTGTAGTCATGAGATTTGGGCACTGCTCTGGTCAGCCTGGAGACTGCGCAGGAGGGATGCAGAGTTGATTGAGCAGTGGCAATCTGGTCAGCTGCTCATGGTTTTTTTCCAAATTTCCAGGTGCAGTGGTATATTTGGCCAGACTTTGCATCAGTGGGTGTTTTTTTTGAAACCTGTGTACATGACTGCGCCACACGTTTTCGGGTTGTGTTTTCCTCCACCGCCTTTGTGCCAGTTTGTGCTGAGGTGGTTTGCCATTGAGTTCTGTGCGCGCGGTTCCAAGCCACTCACTGCTCTTCAGTCAGTCAGCTTTTCTGAAGTCCAGTTTTTCAGACACTTCCAATTCAAGACACTAAGATTTGCAGTTTGGATCAAACAAAGAGCATTGACACCTTTTTGCGAAGCTGAACCTGGCCGACCATGCCTTTCTGCCGCCCTTCTGACCCTGGCCAGCCCGGTCCTATGTTACTGTGTCAGTTTCTGTCCGAACAAGTGTTTTGTTTTTGCATGCTGTTCGTGGCATGTGGTTCAACACTTCTTCAGGCCCAAGTGCAAGGATGATGATGATGATGATGAGTCGCACTTTGTGTCCACACTACCTCCAGCTGATCTAGTCCTGGTTTCTGAATCCTTGCCCTCTGTTGAGTGTAAGACTTCAAACGATCAGACAGTCACCATTTCTGTGATAGCTGCTCTGGACCATGAACTGCTGGGGTCATGGGCTCAGTGGCAATTTCAACCATCATGGACCGGTCTTTAAAACAGTGAATTGCCTTGGTCACAGCCATCAGAACTGCTTCCAGTCATTCTTATTGTTTTGTCATGCTAGGTTTGCAATCTTTCGACTTGGTCGTGACTTGCATGCCTGGTTGAAGAATGTAATGGATTCCTTTGATGCGGCAGTCTTCCGAACCAAGAAGCAACTGATTAAGACGCTCAATCGGTTTTACCAGGCACATGTATCCCAGGCAGGGCCAGGGGCGCTTGAATTCGTAATGAACACGCAAAAGACCTAATGTGATTCAATTGGCAAGACTGGTGTTTAGACTTTCTTCAAACCAAAGCACACTAACACTTCCTCACTGCCGTTTATTTGCCTAGTGGTCTTAAAGCAGCCAGGTCGGTCCATTCTCTCGTGACGTTGCCTATGCTGGCAAATGGTGGAAGATGATGCCTTGGTGCCCCACAGGAAGTCCATTCACATTGAATGGAAGCTCGCTCACTATGCATGTTTCAGGTTCACCAAGTGCTAGTAAGCTTCATGTCCATATTTGCTAACCTTTCCCAACACTTTGCCTGCTCGCTATCTCAGGTAAGAATGGTGTCTTCCAGGTGATGTTTCAATCAGTGGTTTTGAAACCACAGCCTTTGCCATGACCGAGTGAGAGTTGGGATTTCACTTTCATTTGATGCCAACTAAAGGCTGAAAGTAGCACTGCCTGCAGGGGAGGGTCGCAGTGCCGAACAGCCCTGTTGGTCACGCAGCAATGTCGGATTCAAAATTGTTGCAGCAGTCGTTTGCAAGATCCATAGATTTGCTTGGACTTCTGAAAGTGAGTGTGTGTTTATTTGCTTTAATGCTAAGGCTGTGGTGGCAGGTTTGTCCTGAATGCAGTTTCGATTTAATTCAACCCTATTTTTGTTGCTGCGAGTGCAGTCAGATTTGAGCTCACATAGGGGAGGGCCTGGGCTGACATCATTCAATGAGTGCGCTACCATGCGCTGGCAATGAGCCACTGGAAAATTCACAGCCTCCGACACCAGCAGAAAGGTCCAATGCTGGTGAAGCATCGGAATCGATGCTGGAGGTGCCAATCACATCTCTTGTAGAACGATTCAGTATGTTTGCAATTGAAGTGGCTAGATCGAAGAAGTGCTTTTATGTTTTCCTGGAGGAGCCTTCAGAAACTATCATGACTGTGGAGGACTCATGGGGTTTGTCCACCGCTATGCCCACCGACGGGCAGAAGTTGCGGGAGAGTGTGCGAACTTTAATGGCCCAATGCATCCAGAAGTATGGTGGCCCTGAGAACTACTTACGAATGAGGTTTGCTACGCGTGCAGCCAAGCAAGACTGGCTGAACTACTTGGGTGAAATTCAGAAGGTGGATGGGGCCACCAGCTTCAATGTAGGCGTCGACTTGCCAATCTCCAACTGCAATGCCTTGAGTGAGGCAAGGTTGAGATTTGGTTTTGAAATGGACATTTGTTGAATTAGGTGTGGCTTCCACATGTTGTTTCCTGGCAGGGGGCACTCCTGCGCATGCATCTAGGATCTTTCAGCTTCAGCACAGCAGCGTCTGTCCGCGGCTGCCCGGAGAACGATGTAGTTCTCAAGCTCATGGACGAGATCATGGTGGATGGCTTCGTTACGCAAGGAGATCCACTCCTTCTGACTCAACCAGCTGACCTTCTTGCAGAGGTGGAGGATAGACTTTAAACTCTGTCACTGCTGGTCATTGTGCAATTTTGTGGTTGTCGGCTCAAAGTTTTCCAATGGAGTTCGGTGTTTTGAACAATGCCTTTTTTGGAACCAGGAGGGATTGATGGGTCCTTGGGCTCGTGCTGGCCACTCGAGTTTGCGGCCAATGACTGTGGGCTACTATAAGGGCAGAACCCGTGTCACGGTCCTTTTGGCCATTCTCTCTCTCCTCAGGGATCATGTCAATCCCAACCTGGCCGAGGTGTTTAGTGGTTGATTCTGTGCAGTCAATATGTTTTTTTCACATGGGCTAGTGTGCAACTGCTAGTTGGGCATGGCCAGGTGCACAGCAAGCTGCACCAGAGTGTGCAGGTGATCCTCGGGAAGAGGGTCCAGCTGCCCTCGAAGAAAGACGAACTTCTTGGCAACTTTAACTTGTCAGTCAGAGGCTCCATTCGAAAAGCTCCCAATGTTGTGCCAGCTTCCCAGCTCTTCAAGATTTGTTCATGGTTCGTTGGCCAAACATGCTTCGCCTGGTGCCAACAACCACGCTTAGGACATGGATTTCCAGCATTACACAGCTCCAGAACTTGGATTCTACCCTCGATGTGGCCCAATTTGTTTGACACCTGGCCCGAAAACATGAACTGATGGAACATGTTGGCAACTGGCTGCGTGAGGTCTCAATCACCACCAGACCGGGATTGGACAACATGTTTGTTCCCTGCTCCCAGGTGAAGGATCACAATGCCAATTCCTCAAAGAATGGCCAGCTGGTGGGATCCAAAGCCCAGGCGGTGAAGAACATTTTGCACAGCCTGCCATCGAAAGTGAGGCAGCTGATAGTGGACTACACGACAGAGGTGGGCTATGAGTCCAGTCCCTGGCAGGACGACTGCCTTGGAAGCAAGAAATGGTTGCCAGGCTTTGCGTTTCTCATCTCAACGAAGCCCTTTTTGTTTTTGGTGGTTTTCAATTCAAATCAAGTCGTTTGTCCAGTATGGAATCAGACAGGGGTCTCTGTGCTCTTATCAATGAATATACAAAATTTATGTCTATTTGTAAATAGTATATATGCATCAGGTTTCGCAGCCAATCTGGTGGGGGCTCGAACAACGTGTGGCAGACACGTGGCAAGGTCACTGCAGAGAGCGTGGATCTTTTTGTCGCTTTGAACTGCTTGGAACTGCTTTGTTGAACTGCTTTTGTGGAGTTGTGTGTTTGGCATTGCTTAGAGGCTTAGGATTGTTGTGCTCAATGTGAGGCTATTCTCAAAAATTACTATCACTCAGAAACCACCCACAATCACTCAGTCAGTCGACATTGCTATCAGGTCAAGACCCTCATCAGCTACAACCGCAAGATGCCAGCCGGCATGGAGGCCAAGATGCAGAGGCAGCAGTGGGACCGGCTGGCAGAAGAGTGCGCGTGTGTGGTTCACATGGGTGAAGAGGTCTTGAATGTGATGCCAGTCGCCCCCGAAGTGCTGTATGAAGCTTGGCACCAGAAGTACATCGATGGTGACCAAACGGTGACTGTGGAGGTGCAAAGTGCAATCCTGGCCCGTTCTGCTGGGAACATCCGTGATGTGGGGACATTGAACACGTTGCTCACCCAACATGCCTCGAGCTGTCCTGTGCCCAAGAAGGATGTGATTGGCATGGTTCAATTGGAGAAGGACGCCTTCGATTTGACACTTCGCCAGTTGTCATATGATTTGCAGGCGCTGAAGGTGGCGAAGAGCAAAAGGTCGACCTGGGAGGCTTCGGTGTATCATGTCAAGCTACAACACCGCGTGCAGCTGCATGAGGCCTCCATGAATGCTGCACGTTGGTTCATGGACAATTTCTGCAAGGTCATCGTGGCAGATACCGCGGATGAGATGTTGCGGCACTTTCAGGTTCACAAGCAGCAGGTGATCAATCGCCTCCGCTTGGATGGAAATGGCTGTGTGGCTCAACTTTGCAACAGCAACTTTCAATTGATTGGACATGAGGTGGACCAGGAGTAGTGTGGTCAAGTCCATTGGAGGGGGGCCCTCAATAACCGGGGTTGGTTTGATTTCATGTGGCTAGCTGATTTTGATCGCCTGTTGGAGGTCGACTTTGTTTTCATCAACTGGCTGGCACCATCCACGCTGAAGAACTCGTCCCAGCAGGCCCAGACTAATTTTGCTTCGCATTGCATTTTGTCATCGGAGCAGAACTATGGTGCTGTGTTGATGCCCATCTTCACTTACAAGAAGGGGCAATTGTGGATGCTGGAAACTTCAACAACTCGCGCATTGGCAATGTCGGGCCTGCATGTGGATCATGTTTGGCATTTGTGCTTTGGCAAGAAGGCAGGGCGTGGCAAAACCAAATTATGCAATATCTAAAAAGTGTCTGTTGAATCAACCTGATTTGGTGCATTTGAACCATGAAGGGTTTGTCGCAGGGTGAATCAAGAGTCACATTGAGTAATCCACAATTTGCAGTGTGTCAAACAGGGGCCTTTTGTTGCATTTTTGTGTGGGTCATTTCTCACAATCAGTCACATTGGTGGAGGCAGATCTCCGAGATGGCCGCCCTTGCACATACCCTGGCCGCTTGCTGGTGCATCCCAACGCAAAGGAGAAGCAGATCTGGCACAACTGCCTGCTGATGAAGGTTGGCAGGACAGCAGAAGCAGAGATGCTGCACGCCAGGGACATGTGCCAGGTAGAAGATGTCTCGGCCGACGCGCTACCAACTACAGTGGACGATGACATGGCCGTGATCCAAGGAGCACAGAAATACCAGCAGGCCAGGCAATGAAAGTTTAGTAGGGCTTAGAAATCTAAATCTGGGTTAACCTGTTTGGTGTGGTGGCAAAAACCAGCCATCCACATTGTTGCAGTTAAAACTGCTTTAACTTTGTCGTTCGACCTCCACAAACTATGTTTCTCGCAGATTGGATGCAATGCAGCCACGAAGATCCTGGACGCTGCCCTCGATGGTGTTGCTGTGGACTCCAATGGAGCCATGTTCATCATCGATGTGAACCCTGGAGTGGGGAACATGTTTGATGCCTTCATGGCCAAAAGGGCATCGGTGAACTACAACCTTCAATATGTGGCCATGGTGCATGAGGATCTTTCAGCTGAATGGTTCCAGGAGACCAAGGCCGGAAGTTCTAATTGGCTGATGGTTACAAAACGTAGCGCTTAAGGCTTAAACCGCACAGCATGCCACTTATTATGCTAAATGTCCAGAAACCTTACTGGCAGGCGCAGGCCTTAGCAAGTGGCCATATGGCTGGAAAGGTCCAAATTCCTGGGCATGCTGTGGGCTCTCAAGAGTGCCCTCCTGATCTCTTGGAGAGCGAGCCGCCGCTTCCGAAGCTGAACCTCATGGTTTCGCGCAGTGACTTGTACCCAGAAGTCCCACCTGCAGTGATCCGGCAGTGGATGGGGACTGAAATGTCCAGCGAAATGCAGAAGTTCCTCGACAGTGTCCATGAGGAGTTTGGCCCAGTTCCAGATCTCAAGAAGCCAGCAGATGACACTGGTGGCAATGCCAATGCCAACCCAGATCCCAACAAGTCTCCGCCTGCGAATACGAGTGGCCAGAAGAGGAAAGCATCGCAGAATAGCGCTTCAGCTGGGAAGAAGGCGAAGGTGGATCGTGCCAAGGTGCTGCCCACTTCTGAAGCTCAGTGTTCAGTGATTTTTTCTATATTGTTTTGAGTATTTTCAAGGCTGGGTGCAGGCTCATAGTTGCAAACCTGTGGACAGTAGATTGCAATTCGTCATTTCAGGAAGTGGACCTCCAGACGGACAAGCTTTGTGAAGCTCCCATGCTGAACAAAGGCAGCGCCATTGTGATCCACATCAAGACAGGGAACCGCCCATACCTTGTCAACGCATCAGATGCAGCTCAGAGCCTGTCAGCTGGAACTGTGGTGGCTGCTTTTGGCCGTGGCAAGTTCATTCGCCACCAATCCAATGCACCTGCCAGTGAGGTTAGCAACAAGGAGGTCCCATATGACCTGAGCGGCGCTGATGCACAGGTTCTTTACAATGGCAACTTGACCACCATTTACGAGATGGTCGAGCATAGGAGGAAATCTGGACCTTCACCTGTCATCAAGGTGAACTATTTCGAGACGATCGACCAGCCAGAGGAGGGCAAGCCAGGCCACTTCAAATTGAAGAAGACTCATGACTTGAGGTTCTTGCCCCAGCAGACTGTGAATGTGGAGCATGAGGGCAGTGCGAATGGCGGCGACAACACGGCCAGCCAAATGAATCTCGCTTCCTTGTTGCCGGTTGAAGCATGGGCAAGTTTCTTGCAAAAAAATAATGGTAACATTTTTTGTAGATGACCAGAGCAAATTTTCTGCGGGGACTTGAACTTGCCATGTGATGTGTTACCATGTGTTGTCGAAGGTCACTGCACCCAAGTGCTGTTCAGCGTCAAGTGGGCAGCATCCGGTCTTGCTCCCATCCGACCTCAAGTGGTGTTGGTGCAGGACGTTGAGCTGGCACCAGGGCGATGTTTGGCCCTTTTCTGAGTTCATGTGGCTGAGACCAGTTCAGCCATCAGATCAGCGCAGACAAGAGGGTCTGCCACTGACATTTTGAATGTTGAAAGCCAGATCCTGTCAGCTAAGTCCTCGAACATTTTTCTGCATTGTTGCCAAGAGCTAGAAAAAGTAGAAAACATCCCTCTATCCCAGGTTGTTGGGGCTGCGCAGGAGATGGTAGATGTCATTACTCAGTCAGTCTTTTCGAGTGGTCACCAATCATGTGGGCAAGGGGATTGCCCGCGACCGGCAGAACGAATGGACAAATGAAACGGCTTGCTGGATTGATATTTTTCTCACCTAACAATTGTCAATATGTTTTTGCATGTTCCCCAATCATCATCATCACTCAGGCCTCAATTAGTTTTCCCCTTTGGCAGGCGCTGGGTTCGGTGCAAGTTCAACGATTGAAAACTGTTCTGTTTCCTGTTGCAATAGACTATTGCAAAATTGGGAATGGTCAGTGCATGGAATTTGAACGCAGTCATCCTGATCGATTTGTCCACTGAGCACTGGTTTGATGTCCCCTCTGAGCTTGCATCATGTGTAGTGTGTTGCTCAGTGTTTTGAACCTCAAAGCCAGGTCGCTCTGCACCTGTGAGAGCTCTGAGCCACGGCCTAGAGATGATGTGCTCAATATGTGGTATGCATCCGGACTCAACAACAATATGTTTATGTACATATGACTCATAATGACTTCAACCTTTATCCATTGGTTTGTTGTTTCAACCTGTGATGACTTGAGCAGTCCTGTAGCATGTCATTTGTTGCCTTGCGGATTTGCTTTGCGGACTCCAAGCATTTGGAGGCGTTCGTGCAGCCGATTAGCTTTTCCCTGACCACCAGTTCACAGGTTGGCCATGACCAGCCTGCAGCAACCCATGAATAGCTAATCTACCACTGCTTGCTGACTCCACACCTGGGGTTGATGCGGAAACTTGGGGTTGCTGACCGGTGCGCTTGTGCAGGAATGTGTGGTGAATGAATGCCAATGTGTGACAGTTTTTTGTTCACTGTGTTGTTTGAACAAGTTCACAACCTCTTAGTTTGTACTGAACAAGGTGAGCTGTGCCTTTGTAGACCATCAAATTTACAAATGTTGAGACCGGTGTGGATCTGTGATTCTCTACATCTGTGATGTTCACAGACCATTTTGATGATCAAGGTTTGTGCCCTGTGCCATGGAGGACTCGTCAGTGGAAGAGGGGCCACAGGATGTCGAGACTGTATGGGTGCCTGTGTACCTACCTTTGGGAGTAGGTTCGGATTCCAACCTTGGACGTGAGTTGGCTGACTTGATCCTTACATTGACAGTGCAGCTGGCTCCGGCATTTGGGATAGAGCTGGCCTCCGACCTGGCTCATTTTTGTGTTACCGAACTTGACGCAGATGATGGGTTGCGATTGTTCACCCGGCTGGCGCGTTTGAGCAGGTCAGATGTTTCCATGGCCCGCTCTCGTATTAATTAGTTTGTGCTACCTGTGACGACCAACACCGCATGATGCCGGCAGGAAAATTCGCAACGCAGCCTCGAGCGGCTGAGGGTGTGTGTGTGTGTGTAGACAATGGTATTTTTTTGCGTTTATGGTGTGTGTGTGTGTGTCCTCAACACACTAAATTCCCCATGTTCTGATCCATCCACTTCTTCCTCAGGAAATTGTATAAAAAGACTAAACAATGAACAAATCTTTCCTGGTCTCTAGCTAGTGCCCCCTCATGGCCATGACGCCGATTCTGTGAAAAAAGTGTGGCCCAGCGTACACATTCAATTTGATTCACCTGTGGTGAACCAAGTGCCAACTGTTGGCTGCCTCCATACACTCAACTATATTGACCTGTGGTGGTGAACAGCAAGCAGCTGGCCAAATTTAGCTGTTGGCTGCCTCCATAC